AATCTTAATTACTTTAAACTAATTCATTGCTAATAACAATTTTCCAATAATAGCATACTAATTTATTTATTCCTTATATTTAGGCATTGCTTATATTTATTCCTTATATTTAGGCAACAATGCATAAAAATAATATCCTCAATTGATTAAAAATACTAACTTACCTAATCTTCTTTAGAATCTCAATCGTATTCATATGTATGCCTGTTTCAGGATCTTTAAAATGATACTTATGGTTAACAGCAAGATGCTGAAAACCTTCATCCTCCAAACAGGCATGACTTCCAGCAACCAGGTTGTACCAGGTAGAATATACTGCTTAATAAAACTAATAAACAATCTTTACTTCTATCTCACACAACCTTAAAAAAAAACACTTATTTCTACCCCTTTCAATCCCACTAAATACCCATTTCGAATTCACTTTAGATAGGGCCATTGGATCCAAAAATTAAGCAACACTATTTCACACAACACAGAATGAAGCTAAATACAAAATGCTATAAAGTACTGCAGATATTTTTCCAGATTTCCCCCCTTTTTCTGATTAAAGAACTATGATTCTTCCATATATGTCAGATGACATATCTCATGATCTCCTCAGAATTTTAACGGTTGGTTTGGATTGGATTATTTAATTATGGCAAAGCACACTAGGGCTATCTGCCTAAGGAGAGGGATGCCTTCGTGGAGGACTTTCTAATGGAAACTGGATGGTATACACATTACACATGGGGAAAACCACGAAAACGCCCATGCAGCCAGCCCGTTCGTGGGATTCGAACCTCGGACCGAACTACCAGTGTTCAGCGTCTTTACCGCTCGGCCGCTGGTGGGCACAGAATTTTCAGGGAAACTGTTGAATTTAAATATTTTACAATGTCATCAGCCAATTTTGGATTAACAGAAATGCAGTGATTTTCCAAAGAAAGAAGGGGTTCAATTAAATCTGATCCACCTCCTCTTGATAACGTTGAATCAGATATTAATTGCCTTCCTCTGCCTATATATTTTTATTTTTCATTATTTTTGTATTTCTTTTCTCTGTATTTCTCCTGGTTTGATACCTATTGATTGATTTTTTACACATTTATGAAGAATTTTAGATTTATTGGTTTTGAATTTCTTTCATGTCTTTGTGAATTTGGTTCTAAATTTCTTGCTTATTGTCTACATATATAGTATACAGTATGTATTTTACCCAGTTTACCTGGCCTTTATTTTTGCAGTCATTCATGTACTTCTAGTTACAAAAGTGTTTTAAATGACAAAAATATTCATGTTTTTGCACTGTTCTTTTTTTTTTTTTTTTTTTTTTTTAATTATTATATTAAAAAAAAAAACATTAATTTTGGATAGATAAGGAAATCTAACTTTTAATGCAGTCTCCTGGTTTCTATACTTACATTTTGGAAGGATTTATACTCATTATGAAAAAATAAATGTAGTCTCCTGGTTTCTATACTTACATTTTGGAAGGATTTATACTCATTATGAAAAAATAAAATTAAAAGAAGTCTATTCCCATATGACAAAAATTGGCAGAACAGTTAATTTTGAAATTTGCAATTTTTGACATTTTCAACTTGCTTTGACAGATCGGTTATTCAAGGTAGAATAATTCGAGCAAACAAGTTTAAATGAAGGGTACTCTTCTGTTATCGGAACCAGATTCAGAAATATATGCACATATGCAGGTATATATGGATGTGTGTTCATGTATGCATGTACATATGGATGTACATATAGTATACATGTATGTGCATACATACATACATTTTCTAGTAAGGTCTTGATAAGAAAAGAATACCAAATGAAGTGCAACAAAAAATTCATATGATTTAGTAGTAATTAACAGTATACTTTATGTTTTTTCGATGTGAACTTAATTTTTCATCCAGTATGCATTTTATGTGAATGAAGAAGATAAAATGACATTAAAATCTAATAAAAACTTTGTTTTACATTATCAACCATAAGCATGCTATTATTACACATAAACACCATTTTGCATAGAGAATCAAGTTCAGTTTTTTTTTTTTTTTTTTTTTTTTTTTTTTTTTTTCCCCAGATCTAACAGCTTATAATTTAAGTACACTGAAGTCTAAAAGTGCATGTAACAATAATATACTTCTTTATTTAAATAATTTATTTTAATACCTCACAGTTAACTATAGAAATATCTGTAAGCAAACAAAGTATAAATGCATTAACACTGAAAGGCACTGATTAGTAAGCAATACATTTTTTGATAGACTGTAGAAATTTCATAAATTCCACAATGTACATGTAAAACTAAGAACAAAAGCTTCATAATTAACAAATCTCAAGAATAATAGTTATAACCAAAATAAAGTTGCCATTCGAAAATTTTATTCTCATATTCCACATAGATTTAAATTTTAAAATAAGCAAACTTAAATTGCATTTACCTAAATTAAACTGCTTCATTAATGTTACTTTAATGAAAAAGAAAAGTTTTGATTTTTAAACATAGGGTTTCAATTCTTATGCGTAAATTAATTTGAAAATATCAAACAGAATGCATCCAACTGCAGAGAACTTTCACGTAATTACTAAAAATATTAGGTGTTTTATATCACGTCATATGCTCTTAAAATATTGTTTCCTTTTTTAAGAGTACAGATATTTCGTGCATTTTTCTTCAATACAAGAAATTTCAAATAAAAATATCAAACATCATTTTTCCGACTTAAAACCACAAAAATACGGCAAAGACTTACCGTGCATCAACATCAGCTGTTACCAAGTTTACAGCTCTGTCCGGAGTAGGAGCACAGACAATATGCGATAATTCTATCTCTTCTACTTCCTTTTGACAGCGAGAGTTTGGCCCGTATTTCTTCGAACGTGAAGATCCGTTTATTTTACTCCGATGGGCATTTTCTGATAACAGCTTCGGAGAATCATTTAACCTGCGTCGATCTCCACAAACTAAACAGGATCCTCTCTCGGTTGGATTGATAGATGTACAATTTCTGCAATGCCATTGCAACACAGAAGCGTTGGATCCCATTTTTAGAACCTTACTATTGATTTTTCATTATGATTCCAGAGTTTGTGCATTTCATCGTTGCTCATATTGAAGAAGAAAGTAATTTGGCACAAAGTAATTATTTTGTGCTTGTGTTGACAAGCAGACGCACGTTCTCCATCTTTAACACCGAGATGAAACAGCTGCTCCATCTTATGGTAGAAAAGCACCGTACAGGGCTGAAATTCAATGCATTTTTTAAATCATATATTTGGTAATTTTTAAATAAAAAGACATAAAATTGAAGGATATTTTTCATGTCTTGCAATAATATCAACTTAAGTAATATAATTATAGGACACCAAAAAACATCGATATTGCTTGATTGTAATTAATAATAAATCTGTAGCAGATTTCGGTAAAGGATTTATAACAAATTGTAAGGTTCGAAATTTGTTTTAAAAGTACCTTTGCTTATTCTTAAACATATTAGTTAAAAAGAATGCAGTAGGTATATCTCAGAAAGAATGCATATCCCAGTATATCTGAGCATTTTCTTATTCGTATACGTAGAGTCTACATGATCCTATTTTTGCCGATGGATTATAAGTGCTTAATGATTCCAAGACAAGAGCGGGATCCATTATCCCTATTAATGCATTGCTGTTCTGTGTACCAGGAACCAAGAGTCGGTGTTGGTTAAACCCTAATACGAAAGTACAGCCTCTAAGCTTCATTTTCCCTAAATAATACCTTAAGAAAGTTTCCCGACAGAAGTCGGCTTCCATTTATTTTAGCCTCGTGAAATACCATAGAAAACTTACACATCCATCGATTACCATTCAACTTCAGAAAACGAAACCAAAACAAATTCCAAATAACTGCGGCATTTGGCTTCTGTAGAGCCTCTATGGTCTTAAAACTAATTTTTTATCATGAAAACAAGGAGAAAAACTGATAAAATATTAAAGAATTTTTTCATCTAAAATCTTCTCCTCTTTGCAAAATAAACATTTTAGGAAGATTTCAAACTCAAATTTTACTCAGACTGATGCAGTATAACTATTGCCTATGTGTTCTGTTGTTGCAAATTACTGAAAATACTGTGTAATTTCTAAAAAAGAGCATTTTATGTACAAATAATAAGCTGAAGTAAATTGTGGGATAAAAGAGGAAGTCAATAAAGAAGATTTTATCTACACATGATAAGTGGGTGGTCCATGAAATAATGTTGCGTACGTTACTTAGTTTGCGCCTCTCATGTTTGCTCTATTGCAATTTTAATCGGATATATGAATCTTCCCTTAATATAGTTTAAGAAACTTGTCAAGGGTTTAGATTTGCGAGATAAGAGGTTCTATAAATTACGTTTTATTATTATTATCTAAGCTTTACGCAAAAGAAAATGATACTATTAATCAAAGTACAGAATTGAAAGAAATCAATAAATAAATCAATACAATTAAGTATTTACAAACAGTTGATTCATTTCTATTTAGAGAAAAACTATCTTTGAAATGATGAAAAAGTATGAGAATTTCTAAAATATTTCAAAAGATCTGTAAAAGATATAATAGGGCCTTCAATAAAATATTGGAGTAGTGGCGTTACTCCCTATACAATATGGCCTGAATTGTTTTTAAGTGTTTCACTTTTCCATTAAACAAAAATTAATTAAATTCTGATTTTAAGCTATTAAATATTAAAACAAATTAATGACTTAGTTTCTATTTAGAGGCTCTTCTCTTTAGAAGCCTTCATATGATAAGAAATTGCTCTGTTTAAAGACCGCAATTTCAATATTTGCACTACTTTCAGAACTTATTTTAATGAAATATATATCCGTGCTTTGTGTCATTGAGAAATGACTGCTTTTTTCATAATGATAATTTGACTGTTTTACGATATGTGCATGTTTTACGTTAAAATGCTGTTTAAAATAACAACTAGAAAAATAACACTGTGGTTTAAATTCACGAGTATGGCAATATCATGTCTAGTTAAAGTCAGTTTCGTCGTTTGTTGTGCTCGTGTTTTGTGACAATAAACTGAAACTTGGTGCCTTGTTATTAAATTTCTCACGCTTAAAAAACGTATTATTTATTTCACTTGTGCCTTCAGCAGTGTCCGCAGTTGTTATGCTTACGAGTTGTTACTCACAGTGATGAAAGATCATTTGGCCTGCGGTTTATTCCCTGATTTAGTGATACTGACCAAGTGAAGTATTTGGTTGCTTAACGTGTAGTAGTGTCTATGCATCCGTCAAATGATAAATTTAGTTATGGATTTTATATTAGCTTAAATTAGCCATGTTACGAAAAGAAATTTAAGAAAACAAGTATTAAGGAATGGAAGGTGTTGTTCATGACGGCTGGCTGGTTAAATCCCCGCCTGAGAAAAGGATATTTAAAGCGGTATGTAGTATATGCAACAGAGTCATATTTATTTAGTCATATGAAAATCTCTTATTTCATACATTAGACCAGTATATTCTGGAACCACTTTAAGGCAAGCTAATTTGATTTTATGCTGAGAAAAAAAAATTTGGTATTTAAACGGTGTATAATCGTGGCTATGTTAATTATAGTAATTCGAAAGTCTGTTAATTTATTTTTAGCATAATATGCGAAAGTATATAATTTCTAATCACAAAAGCAAAGGAAAACCGTTGATTTTAATTTGGAAAAAATTTTGCTATTTTTCGATTAGTATTAAATGTTTTTAATAATAGTAATAATAATAATGAAAAGTGTTTTTCATTTTGTAAATTAAATTAGTGTAACTTCTTATCTCCTAAAAAGCTAGTAACTCGATAGCGCTATTAATAAGGAACGTGAGCTATTCAGTTTATCTAAGCTTGGATGCTTCTTAATTCTTTTAATAATATGAGTTAATGGTGCAGTTAAAAAAAAAAAAAAAATACTTAAAAATATTTAGATCTTTATCTCGTTCTAATTTTTATTTTTTTTAATTAATAGTTAAGATATTAGAAGATATAGAAGATCTATATCTTCTAATAGAGATAGAAGAAGGGAGATAGAAGAAAATTAAAACATTCGAAAAATAAACTTTCATAAGTATTCAATCATTTTGAATAAACAGTTTATATTTAATAAAAAGGTAAAAGTATATTTTACCTTTTTATTAAATATAAACTGTACTGGTAAAACTATAAACTTTACTGGGTACCCCTTGGTGATTTTTGGCGGCACGTGGATACCGAATTTGTGCAAGTCTTTGACTTGTTATTTTGGTTTGCATAGCAGAGATTGAACAAGACGAAGAATTGCACAAACTCGGTACCTATGTACACATTGATCTATTTTCACTTAAAAAAAATCCCAGAATTGCACAAAAATGTAATTACTGACTCACGTTTACACCGACCTATTTTCACTTAAAAAAAGTTGGAGAATTGCACAAACTAGCCTTTGCACACTCCCTTGAGTTTCCATATACACCGATATATTTTCACTTAAAAAGTCAAAGAAGCACCCAATTGTACAGTAGAGGCAAACAAAAAATACATAATCTCAATTAACTACATTTTAAACCAAACAATAAAATGACATGAAAAAGGATTATGCATTTAAGCATTACACAAAGCAAGTATGTACTTAACTCTGTCGCAAAAAAAATTTCCTTAACAGCATCCAAAAACTTCCTAAAATTTTCTGAAGTAGAATCCATACATCGGCGTCCGGACTCTCCCGAAAATGGCTACTAAGTAAACCTTCATTTACACACCAGTCAATTAATGCACTTTTCCCCTTTCGTTCCAAATCGTACAGAAACTTCATATTAATCTTACTACATTCAGCTATTCTACCATCTAAACAATGAAACAAGCAATGTACTATTTCCTAAACACATACACACCACAAAAGACCTTAAAAAACATCCCTTGATTCAAAATTTCTCGGGGCTAATCTTTAGAATATGGTAACAGGTAGTTTGGCGACATTTTGGTAAGGCGATAAAGGTTACTAGCTAGAACTTTAGCAATAATCTGAGAAGTACAAAGTTCAAATCGCAGATTATTTTGTCTCAGAGAAATGAGAGATCATGAGACATGTAATGTGAAACTTTCTGGAAAATTCCGATCGTGATTTTAGCTAATTAGCACTTAGGAATAATTTCGCTGCTAAAGTGCAGAATAGCCCACTTATTTGTTTGGCACCTTTTTACAAGAGTAAGAAGAATTGGATTTTTGTCAATTTTCTTTGATTTTTCAAGTGAAAATAGGTCGATGTGTGCATAGATAAAGTCAAGAGTGTGCGCAATGCCATTTTTGTGCAATTCTGGGATTTTTTTTAAGTGAAAATAGGTCGACGTGCACATGTATACCGTGTATGTTCAATTCTTAAAAATGCGGGAAGCAGTTTGCGATTCTGCACTTTCTCCCAATCTTCATCAAGATTAAGCATTTTTGTTCCATAAAAGTTCTAGTATAAGCGTAATTCGGTTAGCAGATTGTTGAAAAAAATGTTGAGTAAAAAAAAAAAAAAAATGCCTTTACTTTGTGAAAACAAAATGGCGTCCAAAACAAAACTAGCAGGTTGCTGTAGCAGGGTTGGTTGCCAAAAAATCGCCAATTACCATAATGTAAAGATTCACCTTTCTCAGAATAATGCAAACGATTACATCATAATAGGATTTCCATAACATTCAACTGCTTGCTCAGATTACCATAAATGAAACAACTTGGCAATAAATGAAACAACTTCTAGGGATACCCTAAATTCACATAATCAAAAGTTCTGACCAATAAAAATATCGAAATAACTATATATTCAATCCTATGTTATTTTGATATTTTTTTGGTTGATCTTTACATTACGGTAACTGGTAGTTTGGCGACATTTTGGAGGCGATAAAGGTTACTACCTGGGACTTTGGTAATAATGGAGCAGTACTGAGTTCCGATTACGCATTATTTTGTGTGGGGGAAATGAGAGATCATGGGATATGTCATGTGATATTAATGGACGAATTACGGTTCTTAATCGGAAAAGGGGGGAAATCGGGAAAAAATTTGGAAATTTGTGTATTCTGGCTTGTGTGATTGCTGTGAAATGTGTGATCCCATGAGTAATTTGGAAAGATGAGGAATGAATGAATATTTAGTGGAAAAAGGGTTAGGAAATATGTAAAAGGAAGGAAGAAAAGGGTAGAGTTGGTATGAAAAGTGGGAGATAAAGAAGAGAAAAAATAAAAGATCCTGATCTGAAAGAGAAGTATGAAAAGATTCTGAAAGAGAATGAAGAAAAGTGTATCCGTAATGAAGATGAAGGAGATTAGGTAAGTTAGTATTTTTAATTATTTTTATGCATTGTTGGAAATGTAAGGTGGAAAGGAATTTGGTATTATTGGGAAAATTGTTATTAGCAATGATTTAGTTTAAAGTAATTAGGATTGTAAGGTAATTTTTATTAATTGAATGTATGTGCTCATGTATATTTTAAGTGGTGTTTTTGAATTTAATTATATTTTAATGAAATGATAGTTATTTTGTGAATTTTATGTTTGTAGGAATTTGGTATACGTTTAAGTTGAAATAAACGTGCATGGAAATAATTTAAATATTTGATACTAAATATTTGTAATGCTTCATGTATGAATTCGTTGGTGACGTGTATAATGTAATAGATGATTTAGAGGTAAAAGTTTTTGGATATTTTATTTATTTTATATGTGGAAATGTTCATATTTGTAAAGGGTAAATACTTTTTCGCGATCAGGTAATTTCATATATGTTCTTTTTACCGGGTTTAAAGATTGAGAAAATTGTCATGTATTTTCGTGAAATTTTTCGAATTTATGAGAAAAAAGCAGTGTACATGGATATAGTGAAGAGTGTGCGCAATGCCATTTTTGTGCAATTCTGGGATGTTTTTTTAAGTAAAAATAAGTCGACGTGTACATGGTTCAGTGATATTTTAATGAAATGATAGTTATTTTGTGAATTTTATGCTTGTAGGAATTTGGTTTACGTTTAAGTTGAAATAAACGTGCATGGAAATAATTTAAATATTTGATACTAAGTATTTGTAATGCTTCATGTATGAATTTCGTTGGTGACGTGTATAATGTAATAGATGATTTAGAGGTAAAAGTTTTTGGATATTTTATTTATTTTATATGTGGAAATGTTCATATTTGTAAAGGGTAAATACTTTTTCGCGATCAGGTAATTTCATATATGTTCTTTTTACCGGGTTTAAAGATTGAGAAAATTGTCATGTATTTTCGTGAAATTTTTCGAATTTATGAGAAAAAAGCAGTGTACATGGATATAGTGAAGAGTGTGCGCAATGCCATTTTTGTGCAATTCTGGGATGTTTTTTAAGTAAAAATAAGTCGGCGTGTACATGGTTTATGGTTATGTGTATGTGTATTTTGAAAAACGCGTAAGGTGTATGGTATTGTGCACTTTTTCCGAATTTTGCAGTGAATATTTGTCATGATTAAGCAGTTTTGTTTGATAAAATTTCTAGCATAAGTGTAATTCGGCTAGTAGATTGTTGGAAGAAGTGTTCAGTAGATAAGAAGAAAAGAAACATGTCTTTACTTCGTGAAGACAAAATGGCGGCGGGGAAAAAAAAATAGAGGGTTGCTGTAGGGGAGTTGGTCGCCAAAAAATCGCTAAGTTACCGTAATGTAAAGATCAACCATTTTTTTAAATATACAATTTATATTCAGTCACTAGATACTCTTTAGTATCTGATGACTGAATACTAACTAGTAGAGTAGTGAATTAAGTATACTTTTCAGGTGTTTAGCATGGATTCAACAATTTGTGCATGTGTAAAAATGTTGCATTCTTGCTTAAGGATTGTTTTTAGTAGTAGATCTTTTGTGAAAGTACCATGTTACCTCGGTCTTTTTTCCAACCCACTCCGTAAACGCTCCACTGCACATTTAAGTCTGAAGAGTTGGAGCTTTGATGGAGAAGTTGGAGTAACTTCAGGACAGTTGTATAATAACCACAAATATTTAGGGCTATAGAATCCTTATTCTGATAGAACTTGAATACATTTTGCGTTCTTCCAGATCATTTCAGGATAGAACTTGAATATATTTGGCTTTCTTCCAGATGGTTTCAGATTTTTGTTAAGAGTATTTATATATTTATACTAATCCGAAATATTTTTGATAAACACTAAATATGTAATTCTAAAGATAACGAAATACCCCCCCCAAATGATTATGGTTTACAATCATGTGTGTAACATTAGGCAATAAAAGTTTTTCAAATTCAATTCTTAATTTAGATTTTGCTACCTTTTAATTTGTGTATAGGATGGTATTTATGTTAGATTTTATTCTAGATTTTCAAATGTCTGATGTTGTTTTCTTATTGATGAATCTCTTTCTTGCTGATCACCCCGGATTTTCACCATATCCATGGGTC